ACAAGAATGTTGTGCCTACAGGCGGTATGCATGATGCGATTGAAGATCGATACACCCTGGTGGACATCTGGAGGGAAAGGAGCCTGGTCAAAGAGATTCTCAGTTTTACCAAGGAAACCGGGCCAGTTGACTTTACGTAGGTTCATAAAACACTTGCGAGCGTTACGAATCGGTGAAGCATGTGTGCTGATTGTGATAACTATCGGGAGATGGTCAGAGCTCAGTTTGCACAGACAGTTCCATGAGGTGGATAGTCATAGGTCGCAACGGACGATGGAGATGTCAGGGCTAGCGCAAGTACCTGAATGAAGAAGTCTCGTGGACGTTCCATCCGTGTTGAGTACACCAAAGTTGGTGTTGTTGATCTCCTCGGCTAGTGTAGCACCTCTAGTACAGGAAAGGTTAGAGAATCATAAGTCATCGTGGGTATTGAAGTCGCCCAATATGAGTTTCGAATCATCCGTTAACATGTGGGCTATTGATGGCCTGAAGTTGGCGTCACAGCTGTTTTGTGGAGGAATGTATACGTTATGAATAGTCAGACTGGATGGTCCAATGGTAACTTGCACGTTGAACTCTTCAAGAGGCGAGTCCGCGGAGGTTGCTGCGGGGGTCAGCTCCTGGTATTTGATACTGTGGTGAACCAAGGTGACCAGTCCACCACCGGCGTTACGAGCTCTATCTCTCGAATGACGGCAAAGCCTGGGAAGCGTGGAACCTTCGACTTTGCTGATAGCTTTGTCTCCTGGAGAGCCGCTATTTTGATGTCGTGATCGTGGAGGAGTTTAATGATTTCATTTGTTTTCCTAGAAAGGCCATTACAGTTCAACTGTAGTATTTTAAGGTCAGACAGTGGTGAGGCGTCTGGGAAGGTCAGCGACATAAGCGGCGACGGTACTGAGGGTTGCTGTGAAACAGATTGAGTTGTGGAGGACCGCGGCATAGGTGGTGGTGATAGTGAGGGTAGTTGCGAGGCCGGAGTCGTGGACAATGACATTCGAGGTGGCGGTAATTGGGTTGATTGCCGACTTCCAAGAGGTGATGATGAGGCAGGTGGAGGTAGCACTCGTACAGGCGTGTGAGCAGGCACATTTCGTGGATGACGACAGGTTATGCACCTGTATGATGAGCCGCTGTATTGATGGATGGAAGTGAGATCAGAGCAATTAGTGCCTCTTGAGCGGAAGTGTGCCAGTTGTTGCAAGGTACACACAGGACACAGGCTTGGTTTGGGAAGATCTGTTTGGTGCACGTGGAACAGAACCATCTGATATATCCTTGAGCAATTCCCGGATTGGGCTCGATGCCGGCAATAAGAAGAAGGATTCGGATCAACCTCGCCGGATGAGGAAGATCCACTCTCGAAAAAAAGATATAAACATGTATACTGGCAAATTTTGGTATGAGGGGGTAAGGAAAGTGCAGCTCTTTGCTGTAGTCCATCCGGAGATGAGTCCAACCGGAGATGGGTACAGTCGGTTCCACCAACGAGAAGGCTTGCTGCTTGGGAGGTAGCGGAGGTAGTCGTATCAAAGCAATATGTAAAGTGAAAACTTTCCACAATTCGCCGCTTTGTGTCGGACCTCCTTGCTCGTCTGATCCTTCCCTCCTAATAACTTCTTAAATTCTTCGGCCTAAAGCATATAATTTTACTTTCATGAGGATTTTTGCAAAAGCTTCTTCGTCTTTGCATTCACCAATGTTCATAATGGCCCTTTTCTCACCCGTCTTCACTGTGTAAGCCCTTTAAGTTTTCTGTTGCTCCTAGACTTTAATCGTTTATCAAAACCGCATCCAAATAAAAGTCGTAAATTTCGTTTATGGGACAATCCTTATGATCTGCCCCTCCACGTTTGCAACGAGTTCTCGGAAAAAGCCACGAGTGTGCTCAACTGGTTCTGTGCTTTCTGGTTGAGCATACCTCCAACTGCGAGGTATAAGCTTCTGCCGTCTGAAGACAATCTTTTGAAGTGAATCTTAATGAGAATGTAGTAACTAACCGATGATAAGCCATTTCTAGAATCCCGGCTACAACAGTCCATTAACGTTTCGCGTACCTCATAGTTGGGGTTTTTCTGCGTGGATTAAACCTTATTGAAAACAATGTCGTTCGCAATAGAAACTGTGCCACTGCGTTCTCAGCCACGCTCCTCTGAACAGAGTTGCCCCTCAAGTCTTCAAGGCAAATTACGTATAGGAACAATCGCGAATTTGGCTGTCGTTAGACGAATGGACATTTATTCATTCTGAATTCCTGAGGGTTAGGAATAGAGAAGCTGGCAGTATAGTTGCGGTTTCTACGTAATATTGCTATCAGATCGCTACATCGGTCTTCCTGGTGTCTTTTGGTCTTTTCGGACCAGAGCGCTCTTCATTAGATCTCACAGGGTATTTGTCGGTCCTAATTTTGTTTATTATATTCAGGTTCCCGTGGTCTTTTATCTATGCAAAAAGTGATTACATTGCGCCCATTTGGTTCCGTTCATGTTTGTAGTTTGAGCAAACCAGATTACATCTGTCCCTAAGTGACTTATCTGGCTGTTCGGTTTCACTTCCGTTTTGGGTTAATTTGTTTAACCTTCAGTGGCCATTTGCATCAAGAGTCCACATACCACTCTGGTTAACGTTGCGTTTTTTTCGAATTATTCTCGAGTTTATTGAAACCAAATATTTAACCATTCTGAGAGCCTATGTCGTGAGACAGTGTGATGGCGATCTCGTACAGTAGAGCTTACATGTACTTCCTGACCACACAAAGAGCCAATTTACTTAATTCTCAACGATATTACCGCATTGAAAGGACTTCACACCTTACGTACAGATAATTCTGTCCATTGTATCAGCATCTGGATGTGAGTTACCGAAAACCCTTAAGGAATTTGAACACTAAAATGTTTTACTTCTCTACGGTCTGCAAAGAAAAGGCAACACCTTATCTTACACTTCTTTACGTAATCTGATCCCTAAGCAAAAGCACTGAATTTCCCCGACTCAAATAGTCGTTCGCATCGCCTTCATCGCTGAGCTTTGTTTTCGCTCTTGTGAATTAATTGACGGCGATTTTTATTTCTATTAGTCGACCGGCATTTTCATTCTTTTTCTTTCTACGTAAATATTTACCGTACTTATCACACAGGTACCAGCTGAAAACCCCATTAGTTAGTATCTGTGTTGTCAGTGTGGTAAATAATTACCTACTTGTATAATGCTGACTGCCCCTTGGCAGATTGTGAATATTACGCTCCCATATCGCAGTAACTGATGGATTTCAGCCAAAAATATTAATGTCAAGTTTCCGACCGAGCCTGAAAAAAGCTGTTCCGAAGGATTTACTCCAAGTTTGCGCGCTACTTCTTCAGAAACTCAAAAAGACAGGTTTTCTTTTTACTAACATTTAACAGTCCAGTAAGGGCCGATTTTTTTCTATGCAGGTCGACTCAGACTGTAAAGGTGACACAAACTACGGTTCAGGGCACACAAACAGACATCTGGCCCAAGCACGCAATCGGTGCCAGAGATGTGGCTTCAACTGCTAACTTCACAAGCCTCCCGATGTTCTGCACGTATGCTCCTTTGGACAGCAGTATTGAGACTGTTACAGATCCAACGGATTGGGCGTCAAGCAAAGAGTTGCACGCCAAGTCAAGCCAGCCCGAAACCACCAACCAGCGATCGCAGACTGCGAAACAGGTGTGACACTAATGTTTTCTTTGCATGGTGACAGGTGGCTGCGCTCTTATACCTATGCAAATTAACCCGATCTTGTACTTCTTAGAGAACTTTTGTAGAATTTAGGTTGTTTAGACTAGTGGCAGTCGCAGTTGAACCATACAGCTCACAGAATCTTCAATGACACTTCCCTGCATATAACAAGATTTATGGCAATGTTCGATCATGATGTTATTATTGATAAAAAAGATATGGTAAAAGGTAAACGAGCGAGGGTAAATGAGCTGATGCTAAATCAGGAACTGTAAAGTTTCACAGAATCCTAATCAATGAAAAGCTGGGACTGCGATGGACGAATTACAGTATTTAATTGAGGCTTGAGCAAGCATTAAAACCAACCAAAAGTCTTCGAAGGAAACTTTATAATAATGTTTCAGGTCGAGGTTGCTGACCTAGAAGAATTAACCTGTTCTCCAGCTAGAAGGAAGATCATGCATGTATTTTGATGAAAACTAAACTACTTGAACTACTGCTACCACCTAACACAACTTCTGTTCAGTTCCTATCCCAATTGATAGCGAATATAAGGAGGACGTCACAACCGTTTAAGCCTTATAGTTTCACGGAAACACTGCTTTATCTAGCATGTTTTGTTGAATTCAACGTCCAGCAAAATGAAACGGGGATTTATAAGGAGTTAACGCACCACAAATTCGACAAATAAGTAAGTTTAATTAAAAACTTCAGACGTGTTGTTCCACCGGCTAATAAAAAAATTTCCGCCTGTCGATTTTTGTTGATTCCTTTTCTAATCAAACAAGATGAATTTATATTAAGTTTCCGCAAACTTACTGATTTCCACTAGCTGAAGTCAGTTTTATTCAGACTGACTCAATGATGCCTAATGAGCCAATTGTATCGTAGAAGAAAACGACAAGCCGCTTAAGGTGAACCCAGGCTAATCCTGCTTGTCAGCGGCTAGAAAATATACATTTTTCGTAAATCAGAGCGAACGTCCTCCATAAGGAAGTCTGCGTAACAGTCAATGAAAACCCGAAGGCTGGCGGTTCGATCCAATCCCAGGATATCCGTTCTTTGGATGATCATGATGTTTCACGTTTACCATGGCCTATCATACCGGTTGTTTTAATGTTTTGTTTACAGACAACGCTAGTAAAGATCAGATAACAAGGCAACTGTAAGGGAGTAAAATAGCCACTGCAAATGAGAAACCGATGAGCCAGAAGTTCTCGTATAAAATTCAAAATAATTGTTGTGCAATAAAAAGGTACTTCTCATTTTCTCCGTTATAGCCCACTTCAGATGTGGCCGTCCAAACTACAGGGCAAATTACTTGGCCAACTTCACACTCACCGTCGCGGCTCTCTGGTTCTGAAAATTCGTCGGTGCAGTTTAATCACACTTCGAAGGCCGCAGGTGAGTCTCGTTTTGTAGTCAAATTCAGGATTAACTTTTATAGGGTTTCTCGCTGGTTTTCATCACTCAGTCTTTGCTTCTGTTCTACCTGAGCTGGCGGTGAATATGACTTAAATGATCCCCAACCATATGAGACGGGAATAGGATCGTCAAATTGCAGGAAAGGAATATATCTCGTTTTCTAACCGCAAAAAGCCCACTGAACCTGCTTATATGGCCCCTCCGACAGGACACGCAATGAGATACGTCCGTACCTAATAGAGGTGATCACGCACTAAATTCCAGGGAGACTAAATATTCCCGTGTTCTCTAACCCTTTTCTTAACCCTTACCCTAAATAAAAACTTAACTCAAGCCCTAATCGTAACCCTCAACCCCTCTTAATTCAAAACTAACCCCTGAGTTAAACCTTACCTTGATGAAACCCTAACCTTAATCCTGATCCTTAACTCGAATGTCTCTGGAATTTATGGGCAGTTTCTCCTTTTGTCCTGCTGGAGACAGATTTATAATCTCCACCCGAAACCTTAACCTTTACCTTTATCTTCACACGAACCCTACACTAAATTCTGACCCTATTCTTAATACTAACCTTAAGACAATCTTTACCTTCACAGTGATTTTTCCAGAATTAAGTACAAAACCATATATGCTACGGGAAGGGGGTTTTCCTGTTCCAGTATTCTGCCGCGGCGTTCAATATGGAGTTTACCTCAGTGTTTATGAGTTTGTGTAAGAAGTAAGTGTTGCATTAACCTCAGTTAATACTAAGCTCGAATGTACCGGTTTCAACTGTTTTATATACTGGAAACAAAACTTCTTGGCAACTATCGCCAGGATCCGAGAATCAACATCCAAATTAAGAACATCGATTCAAGTTCTCTGGACGGCCCTTTGCTCAAAGATTTAATTACTTGGTTTCATGACTGAGTTCAGTAGCAGGTTTAACATCTGAAATCAGGGCGTTCTGTAAGCTGAATAGCCTTGATAGTGAATCATTTAATACTCACTTCCTAATACAGAATAAATACTAGACGACTAACCATTGCATTGCTATTGGCGTCATAAGCCAACTGGTACGTTTATCATTTTTTGCATATTTTTAACCGCTTGCGAATGCAAATGTACACTTAGACTAAAGAGTCAGAGCTGGTTGTACGCATAGTAGATGTTTGTTATACCTACTGTTCTGGTAGGCTCTACGGATAACCCCATTTTTTAATGGCACTGTGGACATTTGCTTTTCCGGTTTTGCTTTGACGTTAGGCAGTGTGATGCGGCTGTTTAAGTTGGACAGTTCGTATGCCTGCGTTTTAGTTCCTTATCAAAAATAACATGAAACATATTAAGAGCGTAAAAAAACGATGAGCAGGAAAGATCGAACAAAAGTTGTATCGCCTCCAACGCCTAAAGAAGTTAATTATTCGTCAGTCGAAAGAGTTTTTAGACGGTGGTCAGTTGGAAAATGCCCTTGTAATATTTGGTTTGTAGGAACGTCGCAAATAATATGATTATAATATCGTTGAATTCGGTTACAAGCGCCAAAACCATGAGGAAACAGCTACAATTGACGACTCGGATGGGAAATAACAGGTATGGACTTCTACTCATAATACGTTGATTGATGCAAACACTGCAATCATAAGCAGTGTACTTTATGTGTCTCCCAACCATCATTTCTTGCAGCGTTTAGTGAGATATTCAAAAATGAACGCATACTTTCAGGAGAATGGATTCCTTTTAGGTGATTATATTGCCTTCTTTTCAATTAGGTCATTATCGTGTAGCAATAATAAGTACATTAAAATTGAATTTGCCTTCAGTCCCAATTATCTATCTGCATCAGTGCGTTAACTATAAGAAAACGAAAGTTCAACTTAATCGCATAGTTAGGGAATACGCCTCGTTCAGATTTCCGTTGCTCACTAAATTGCTATTTACTGTGTGAAATCAGCTTAAATTTGTTTGGTTTTGAATGAGCACGATGGTGCGGAAATAGACATCGTAAGCCCTCATGACAAAACACTTGATATTTTCAGGAATTTACTAGTCGAAATCGTCGTATGCGTCAGTCCCTTGAAGTTCCTAAAAAATTGTAGACTGAGGTGCTAGGCAAAGATAAAACTGTAATGACTGAAAGGTCACATATGAAACCGGTCCGAAAACTAATACAGCTGACACCTACTGTTTCTCCAGAAGCTTTCCTTACTTTATTAAGCGTGGTGCTGGCCACCATTCGCATCAGTGATTCCCAGCATGTATAGTTCCGAAACCACATTCAGTTCACCGGGTTTAAACTAAAAATTCCCAAAACCCGATGTATCTCACAAGTATTCACCTTCGTTAGGTTAACATAAATTTGCCGCTTTAACGAGGTGTTTCCCCTTGCTGGGGATACTTTAAAAGAGGTTTGGCCGTTTTGATGCTACATGCCTCTGCAGATTTAATGACCTATAAGTAGGTAGTTCATTGTTTTTCCTGTGCAAAAAGGATCAAAATCACCCTCTTCGTTTTACCTGTTTCTTTCTCTGGTGGCAATCTGTCGGACCACGGAGGTTAAAAAAGTTCGAGAGTGGACGTCATAAAGGTTCTTTTTAGCAACGTTATCATAAATTGGTCTGTTTTCGCATCAAGCATACCACAAAACCACATCGAATCTATTCTGCATTTAGGCATGCCACTCTGGTCAATTTCTTTCATTGTGAATGTTTTAGCTGACGTTTTCGACCCAATGCGAGCGCCTGAGGACCTCTCCGGAGCTGACATCAGTAGTATCATTCGGTTGCTCAAGTGCCAAGCAAGTGAGGCCAAGTCACAGGTCACTGTCCTGTCAGCAGAGAACAAGGAACTTGTGGATCAGCTAAAAGAACTGACAACTGACTTCGATCATTCCGTTGCTTTCCTCGAGGTAAGTAAGGAGTATGTGGAGTTACTGTCGAACTCCATAGCTATTTCTCCCTCCTAGGGAACTTCAAGAACAGCGTCAAAAGGAGCTAACATTGGCCGTTGCAGGCATTGGTAGAGCTGTAAAAAGTCTGCGTGCGTCCCTTACTATTTCTATATGTGCGTGCGACCCACTTAGAAGGCGCCTTTCACGCCACGTTAAAAGTTGCGTTACACCTAATTACCAGTTAGCGGGAAGGTTCAGACAGCGAAATGGTGCGTGAAAGTGGATACGGAGAGAAGGGCCTATTTTCTCATGATTGTTTTTTTGGGTGAAAGGAATGCTGCAAGCAAGGAGAGCATTAAGAGTTAAGAGAAAGTTGCATAAATCAACAAAAAAGTTGAATGTCAGTTGAATAACAGAAGCCTGGGTTAAATACACCATTAGCCTACACCTGTTTAAAGGTATGTTAGCGTAAAGGACACGGTAGATTCGGCCGTAGTTACTATCAGGATTTTCGGCGGAGATATTTACTTCTTGCAGGATTATACGTGAAACAAAATCAAGGAAGCACAATAATGCGGTCCAAAACCATCCGTGATATAGATGATTTAGGGGATTATTTTAGGCGTTTATTGTGCAAAGGATTAAGGCTTACCTGATGACTATCGTCCTGTTTTTGCTCACTGAAGACATGACACTTGTTTCAGTAGGACACCTTCATATTAAAAGTTTGATTTACAAATTTACCTGCATGTATAGCCATGTGTACGCATAGCCTACAATACAATTTTTGCCGTATACATTGCTTTTATTAAGGCTAGCTAAGGTGCACTTTTGTCCTATGTTTACTGATATTCATGCCGTTCGGTGCTAGTTAACGGATGATTTGTTTATGTAAAAAATTACGTAAAAGTCAGCTGCTATTAATAAATTTCTAGCCCACTGAAGGCAGTTAACGTGGTAACAGTAAGAGAGTTTCGATTGGCAGCAAAGCGACACTTCAGTCTTCAGTGTCAGTCAGCCACGGCACCAGTTATTTACCCAAGGGCAGTCTTTATCACTATCATCAGTGACTTATTTCAGGGAGTTACTCTTTGCTAGGGTCATCACCTTTTTGCTTTTGGAAATGCACTTACAAAAGGTAGAAGTTTCACCTCCATAAATGGCCTTTTCGTTGGCTTTATTGACAGTCGTATTCTGTGTGACCAGAAATAATTATGGTATAAAAACAGCCGTCTGAGAAATAAGCTGTATACTTTGCTAAAGAGTCAGCAACCTTTCGTAAATGGCAGGACATTGCCTTCGTGTCCAGTAGGCCTACACGCAGCACGTAATTATTCTGTTTACCTGAGTATATTTGTGTGGCAGCGTATATGCACGAGTGCTTACTTGATTTTGTGATTGAGAGTGAGAATTCATCCTCGTCGTTTAT